CTCACCACTCTCCATGCCAAGAGGCTCCTGGCAGGGCAGGGGGCCAACAGGTGTGGTTGTTGTGGTGAGGATGGTGGTTCCAGTAGTGGACACAATGATGATTGGGGTTGTTGTACCCAGGGTGGTGGTTGTAGCCTGAGTGGTGATAGGCTTGGTTGTGGTGCCAACTGTGGTAGTCGTAGGCTCTGTCGGGGCAAAACAAACAATTTGATTAACAGATTTCGACATTGCAATCACATCCAAACTATTTAAATTAAAGCTTGTTGGTAAACATTGATCCAACACATCAGGGCATAAGATTCCGTTTTCTGGCCCCTTTTGATTCACTCCTGATTGACGTCAACATGCACTTCTGGCTTCCGGAGAGTCAGAGGGTGGATCACAACCAAAACTTTATGTTGAGCTTCACTTTTGCATGGATGAAAGTTTAACTTTCCACAGAAAGAAACTCACCCTTGCAGCCGAGCACCTCAACCTGCATGGCGATGTCCTCATTCCAGCTGGTTGGGCGGAGCTGGATGTACTGAGCTGTGATTGGTCGGCTCACATCCAGCAGGTTGGTGACTGGAGTGGTGCTGTCACTGTTGGCAGTGAAGATCTGGTACAGAAGGAGTGGAAAGAAGAATGTTAGTATCTTACGTTTCTGTCCACCTTCTGCATGTGAATTGGCCAAAGAATGTATGGTAAAAAGATACAACACATTAGCCTCTATGTCAACATACCACAGGCTTGTTGAACTCATCAGTGTATGGCACAAAGTTGACACCATCGTTGCTGTAGTAGACAGTGTAGGTGGTGACAAACTCATTGGTCTCAGGCTTGCCCTGGGTGATGAAGCCAGTCACGTGGGTTGGCTCAAGCAGGTCAACCTGGATGGAAGGACAGATACATTGTAGGTATACTGTTGAGCTTAGCATCAAATCAACTCAAAATTTCAATAATTCCAAAAGGTTTATTCTGTGGTAAGCCCAAAAGCAAGCCTTACCGTGATAGACGGGTTGACATCAGTGTCATCAGGCTTCCAGGCACTTGGGCCATTGAGGGTTCCCTCATCAGGACTGTGCTGGTCATCCAGCTGAGAGGAGGCAGTGATCTGGTCTGGCTTGATCTGGCCGCCTCCATGCCCAAAGGCTCTGTGCAAGGCTCATTGTGAGCTGCAGTTGTGGTCTGCACAGGAGTAGTGGGCTTGGCAGTGGTGGTGGTGGTGCCAAGAGTGGTGCCTGTGACAAGAGTGGTCTGTGGCTCAGTTGGCTTGATAGTTGTGGTGTCGATGACAACACCAGTGGTGGTAGTGCCGGTTGTAGCCAGTGATAAGGGTGGTCATGGAGTTGGCTTGGTGGTGGCAGTACCAGTGACAAAACCAGTGGTGGTGGTGCCCTCAGTTGTGCCAGTAACCAGAGTGGTCTGTGGCTTGGTGGTAGGGGTTGTGCCAATAGTGGTTGTCTGGACTGGTGCAGTAACTGTGCCAGTGGTGGTGACACCAGATGTTGTGTCGGTGACCATGGTCTGGGTCTGAGTTGGCTTGGTGGTGGCCAGGGTGGTGGTGAAGACCTCAGGCTTGGTCGTCTGTGTGACAACATCAGTGTAGGTCACAGGCTGGGAGGAGGTGACGGTCACCACTTGAGTCTGGGTGACAACACCAGTGGTGGTCTGACCAGTTGGCTCAGTGACGGTGACAACACCTGTAACGGTTGTACCGGTTGTGTCTGTGACCTGGATGGTCTGTGTTGGAGTTGGCTTGGTGGTGCCAGTCTGAGTGGTGGTCTCAGGCTGGGTCTGTGTGACCGTGGCCAAGGTGGTTGGCTTGGTGGTCTCACCAACTCCAATGGTGGTGGTACCAGTTGGCTCAGTGACGACACCAGTGGTGGTTGTACCAGTTGGCTCAGTGACCAGAATAGTGGATGGCATCTGGGTGGTCTGGATAGTGGTACCCAGGGTGGTAGCCACAGGTGTGCTGAGGGTGGTGCTGATGACAGTGGTACCAGGAGTGGTCTCTGTGCTGGAAACTGTAGTTGTTGGAGTCACTGTGGAATTAGACAGAAGTTACTCAATCATGCAAACAGTTGTAACTGTTGGATGACATTATTATGGCCAGAATAGAAGGGAAAAAGTCTGCATTTTAATTTCAGAGTCCGAGAAAGAGCGGTTCTCACCTCCACAGCCGAGAATCTCAGCCTGCAGGGCGATGTTGTCGTTCCAGGTCACAGGGTGGATCTGGATGTACTGAGCTGTGATTGGTCGGCTCAGGTCCAGCAGGTTGGTGACTGGGGTGGTGCTGTCGGTGTTGGCAGGGAAAGTCTGAAAAATAAAGAAGATAAAATTCAATAACAATTGTTACTAAACATATCTTGTGGACCAGACTGATATACATTCTTTGTACAGTTGTATCAAGAATGTTATTCTTATGACATAATATTTTTCTATATTTGTCTTTAAGTTCTTGACTTAAATAGTTCTACATTGTATGTCAAGCATGTCTTCTTATACATGTAAGTTGTCAAAGCAGACCAATAGCACAAGATCAGTGTTCTGTCCATGGTTGGATAAGAATTTTCTGATGCTTGCATACTTCTAATAGACATAGGTTTGAATTGTACTTACCACAACCTTGCCATCATCAGTGTATGGCACAAAGTTGACACCATCAGTGCTGAAGGTGATGTAGTAGGTGGTGACGTAGTTGGTGGTTTCAGGCTCACCCTGGGTGATGAAGCCTGTCACATGGGTCAGCTCTCCAAGATCAACCTGAAAGTTTGAGAATAAATATGATAAATAAGTCTTATTGCAAACATTTTCTGAATAAAAGCTTGAAATTCAGAATAAGTACGAGGTTCAGAGACTTATAATGTATACTGTGTTCTGGGATCAGAACTGAATATCCTGTCAATTTGGTTTATCAAAATTGGTTTGGTTTGTTTGGTTGGTTAGGATGTTCATTAGTGCACCAATTTCTATTCCTGGATGACATGGCAGGATTTGAACCTGTGTCAAACACTCTACAGTTACGCCACACAACCCTACAGTTGCGATTTTAGTTGTCCATACCTGAAGATACTGAGTCTGGTCATTGGTGACTGGCCTCCAGGCACCAGTTGGGTTGTTCAGGACAACATCCTCAGGCCTGTGCTGGTCATCCAGATGAGAGGAGGCAGTGATCTGGTCTGGCTTGATCAGGCCATTCTCCAGACCCATAGGCTCCTGAAAAAAGATATTATGTTAAGATATAGAATCTGAGATTTTCGAAGTACGTCACAAAAAATCTAAATTTGGCACACTATTCGTACATGTATGTTGACGCAGTTGATATAGGTAAAGGTAAGGTAAACCTTTACCTTTTACTTTTACCTCCCATGTTGACGCAGTTGATATACAAACTGGTTATGAAGTATGTTGACAGAGAAGTTGCATTTTACCTAATAAGACTACATTTTACAATGTACCTTGTTCGTATTTTACCAAGGAAATTGAGGCAAAAACATACCCTGCATGGCTCGTTGTTTGGAGTAGTGGTCTGGACAGGAGTGGTTGGTGGCTTGGTCTGGGTGGTGGTTGTACCAGTTGTCACAGCAGCTGTGGTAGTGGGTGTGGGCTTCTCAGTCACAATGCTGGTCTGAGTAACAACACCAGTGGTGGTTGTCTGCTCAGTCACCACACCAGTGCTGATTGGCTGTGTTCCAGAGGTGGTTGTGTACAGCTGAGTTGTTGTTGGCTCGTTCACTGAAAGAAGGAAGAACCACAGTTGTAATGACTCGAACTCATTTAATGCAAAAACAAACTGCAACATTTTTCAAACAAGGTATATAATATGGAAGAGAGACCAAAATTTGTGACAAAAAGGAAGCTGTAGGACTATATACTGACCTCTGCAGCCCCAGAATCTCCAGCTGCATGCTGGGATACTCGTTGTAGGACTGTGGATGGATCTGGACGTACTGAGCCAGGATTGGTCGGCTGATGGACACCAGGTTGGTGACAGGTGTGGTGGTATCAGTGTTGGCGTTGAAGACCACAGGAGTGTTGGTCTCATCCGTGTATGGGATGAAGTTGATGCCATCAATGCTGTAGTAGACGGTGTACTCGGTGACGTACTGCTCAGGTGTGTACTCTGGACGGCCCTGGGTGATGAAGCCAGTCACCTGGACAAGCTCTCCAAGATCAACCTGTACATCAGCAAAAAGTCAAATCAGTTATATTACATATTAAGTGCATGTATAGGCATGTACACTTATGAGGTAATCATTATGACAAGTAATGACAGGTACTAACATTTCCATATTCCGGTGATTCTGTTTTACAGCAAATTTGTATTTCTCTCTGTAAAAATATCTCAGAGATGCCAAAACCAGTTACTCAAGCAGCTGGATAGTGAGTACTACCTGACTGGTTCAAAAATTACATCTGGCTGCTATTTTTGGCAGTGTCACTGACAAAAGGTAATTTGCAGTTACCTGGATGTACGGGTTGACATCATCAGGAGCAGGAGACCATGCACCGGTTCCGTCCATATCAGGCAGGTTGTTGAGGACGGCCTGTTCCGGACCGTGGCTGACGATGGGGTCTGGGTACACTGAGGAGGCAGTGATCTGATCAGGCTTGATCTCACCACTCTCCATGCCAAGAGGCTCCTGGCAGGGCAGGGGGCCAACAGGTGTGGTTGTTGTGGTGAGGATGGTGGTTCCAGTAGTGGACACAACGATGATTGGGGTTGTTGTACCCAGGGTGGTGGTTGTAGCCTGAGTGGTGATAGGCTTGGTTGTGGTGCCAACTGTGGTAGTGGTTGGCTCTGTCGGGGCAAAACAAACAATTTGATTAACAGATTTCGACATTGCAATCACATCCAAACTATTTAAATTAAAGCTTGTTGGTAAACATTGATCCAACACATCAGGGCATAAGATTCCGTTTTCTGGCCCCTTTTGATACACTCCTGATTGACGTCATAACACACTTCTGGCTTCCGGAGAGTCAGAGAGTGGATCACAACCAAAAATTTATGTTGAGGATGAAAGTTTAACTTTACCATTATCCATCCATACTAGTTTAAATTCAAGAGTTGTAGTAGTCTCAGAATAAAAATTGAAGCTACTGAAAGTAATCAAAGCTATTCCATAGAATGAAAGAAACTCACCCTTGCAGCCGAGCACCTCAACCTGCATTGCGATGTCCTCGTTCCAGCTGGTTGGGCGGAGCTGGATGTACTGAGCTGTGATTGGTCGGCTCACATCCAGCAGGTTGGTGACTGGAGTGGTGCTGTCACTGTTGGCAGTGAAGATCTGGTACAGAAGGAGTGGAAAGAAGAATGTTAGTATCTTACGTTTCTGTCCACCTTCTGCATGTGAATTGGCCAAAGAATGTATGGTAAACATTGATCCAACACATCAGGGCATAAGAAGTGTTGGATCAATGTTTACCAACAAGCTTTAACAGACTCAACCGCAGTCAGTTAAACTTTCACCTGTTCCAACATCAATGTGTGCCCAGTCCTGCGTGCAAATGTGGTCATTCCAACGAAACAGCTGTACACTACTTCCTACACTGCCCACTGTACACTGACGAACGTATTGACATGTTATTATCTCTAACTAACATTCTGCCATTTGACACAAACAACGTCAGCGACAACACTTTATGTTCAACCATTCTCAGGGGTAACCCCTCATTGTCGTTTGTCAACAACTGAAAAATATTCGATGTGGTTTTCAACTTTATTTTGCAGACAGGACGTTTTGTTTGATTTAGTTGATTCATTTTATACACCAGCTCATTATGTACCCTTGTCATTTCTTCTTCTTCTTATTATTATTATTACTTTGTTTTATTGTTTCCGTTTATGTGTGAGGAGAGGGCTGAGATAAGTTTTATAACTTTTTGTCTCATCCTCGGAAAATAAATGTGAATAAAATAAATAAATATAAGCTTGAAAGACTAGTTTATCAGAATCATTTAAAACTGGATTATTGTGAAGAGGCCAATCTATGATATATTGATGAATACGTGTTTGTATATTTCAGTAGGAGTATGCATTTGCTGATCTACGACATTTAACTGTGCAG